GAGGGTGCGGCAAGACCTTTGGGCGCGTGGTAATGCTCGTCTTTCATGATACGCATCGAAGTAGCGAGATGACTGACAGTGGAATCGAGCGCAGTAGCGGTGGGTAGGTGAGTAGGTGGGCAGGTGAAAGGACGGAGTTCGACTTTGGGCTGGACTATCTCAAAAGTTCAAACTATCGAACTTCTACCAACCCATCCACCTACCCGCACACTCACCGCTGCGGCAGCCCGTGCACCGCGCTACGACTGTCTCCAACGTTCAAACTATCCGACGTCTACTATCCCGCCCACCGACGTCTACAGCTTGCTGTTATAGCAGCCCATGACAACAGCCTATCACCCAAGCAACGCGCGACCCATCTCCATCGTCGCCGATCCCCAATCGCCACTCACCCTACCTCGACATCTACGACATGGCTCGCACGAAGCAGACTGCTAGGCTCTCCACTGGCGGCAAAAGCGTACCCAAACCATTGGCGGCCAAGGCGGCACGCAAGAAACCGGCCGCGAAGGCAACAAATCAGCCAGACGGCGAGGGGAGGCCGAAGAAACGCAAGAAGCCTGGCAGTACGTTCTCACAACCATTACTCCCACTACAGGACTGACAACTAGCAGCGGTCGCGATTCGAGAGATCCGACGGTATCAAAGGGAGTTCGAACTCCTCCTGCCCAAGCTGCCCTTTGCCCGCCTTGCTCGCGAGATAGCCCAGGAATACATGGCAGACCTCCGATTCCAAGCGGCTGCGCTCAGTGCTTTGCAAGAGGCGACAGAGGCTTTCGTTGTTGGGTACTTTGAAGGTTTGTCCAGCGATCTCCAACGCACATACAATCCGCTAATTACTATAGATATAAATTTGAACGCGATTCATGCAAAACGGATCACCATTAACACAAGAGACTCAAACCTGGCGCTCTGGTACTACAACAAGCTGGGATCTGCCACAACGTTCAAGAGGACTTGAGGACCTTCGTCGTTACGGACACGAGGCGTGGAAAGAAACGATCTGTACTCCTAGGAACCTACAATATACGCGAAACTGTTACATGCCATGGTAGATAACTGTGATAACTAGCATCTATGCGCTGCTGGGATTCTGAAAAGGCGTTGGGTAGGTATACTTGCCCCAACCGCAACCATAACTCGACCCATCCACCAACCTACTTGGGCGATATCTTCGTCCACCTTCCGCGTTTTCGCGGCTTCACTTCCACAGTCAACCCGGCGTCATCGCAACAACCACCCCTCCTTCGCCGCGGATATCTCGAGCAGCCTGGCGCTCCCACGGGCTTCGTTTTCTCGGGCTGAGCTGGAGCGGCCAGATGCGCATGGGAAAGCCTGCGTTTGCGCGGCCTCACCTCGACCACACCCCCGCGTCACAGCTCGAACGACCTCAACGTCACAGCGGCCACCAAGTCGCCTTCGCCGCAGCCATGTCCATCCTCCCGATGCTCTGATTGGCTGCCACTTTCACATCCCCAACGAACAGATCCGCACGTGAAGACTGACATCCGCACAACCTCAGCCCAACAACCAACGCACCTTCGAGGCGATTGCTACTTCGTCCGCAGCATACACATGCCTATCCTCCTAACTCTCTTACTGGCAGCTGCCTTCGCACCCTTATCGGCGGGATCCGCATACGGACGGCATCGGGCGCGCAAGTTTACCGCAGGCGCTATGATTGCGACACGGAAGCAGGATGCGGCGGTCTGGTATAAGTATTCACCCTCCCCTTGCTTCTAACTCGTCTACCTTTTCGATTATCCTCAACACCACACTTCTTACCCTCTACCAAGATCTTCCTCTTCAACCAAAATCCTTCACCTTCAACACAAGCTTCATCCCCTCCCGCATCCCAACCCCCCACGCCATCATGACACTCAGCTGGTTTGTCAACACCTACGGCGTGACGCAGTGGTTCCACGCGATGGCTCTGCCTGTAAGTCTGTCTCGGGTTCTCATCGCTCTGCCGGGGTCTCTTCCTTCCAAGTGTAAAGCTGACATATATTACAGCAGCCCTCTCCCAAGCCTGGCCACATCCCGATCTGCCCACTTCCTCCTTGGTTTCTTCGTCCTGTCGGTACGACTCACGATGAGGAGGCCATCGAGGAAGACGATGGCGCCGGCGATACCATCGATATGCGCCAACTTCCAGACACCATCGCCACTGTCGGCCACCTCTACTTCAACCCTGCCTCGCGCAACGGCAATGCGGCTCTCACCGCTGACCCAAGTGTCTTTATGGCTGACACCCCCAACGCCCCCGTCGTTACTGCAGATGGTCCCAACTCGAAGACGGAAGTCCCTCATCTCGTCTTCGCCGCCTTCATCCTGAACGAGCAAGCTAACGGCGTTGATGTTGGTGCCCAGGGGAACGGTGCTGTTGCCGTCCGCCTGTACACCATGGCCTGTGACAACAACAGCCGCCGCTTCCCCATGACCTCCCACTTCAAGGACCGAGAACAGTTCGAGGGCGTTGAGATCCTGGACTGGCGCATCGTCAACTTCGACAACCGCTTCAAGCCCCCTGGTGCCAGCCTACCCCAAGTCTATGCCAAGGTCTACGAAACCCTCCTCGAGCGCCTTGAGGATTACCTGGATTAGAGCAGGCATGTGGAGGAAGGTTTGAGCGGGAGTGCAGGTCGTGAGTAGCAAGACAGGCTGACTAGAATGGGATTGAGTACTCCAATACATTGTGCATTCTCCTGACTTTGCTCCCTGCCGCAATTGTGAAGCAATGCTTGTCTTGTATACTTTGACTTCGCCGGCACATGGGTCTGCCTTGGGTTTGGACGGGGTCGTCTTGACGGTGGCCCTTTCCCAGCCCAGACCCAAAAGCTCATCGCACGGATAATGCTGACAGTCTGGGGTAAGGGCATCTTGTCCGTCGCGTGAGCATCGCGCACGGCCCATCCCTCCGGGAAGGTCCCAAGGGCCCGTGCGAGCGATGGCTACGCTCGAGGACGCCCCGGAATAGATCTCAATTTGGGCCTGGGCGCCATGCTTGTTGATTCGGGACAGCGACCCCAGCAGCGCTAGTGGAAACACATGGCGGGTTTGGGGTACGGATGAACATGGCTGAGTGGGGCTGGGTGGTACGATACATGGCCATATTCAAAGACGCAGGGCAGCCGTTATCACAGTCAATTATCACAGAATAGAGTGCAGAACGTATCGAACTCGGATTCACATGAGCACGCACAGTGCTCTGCGCAGAACCAACCCATTACAAGGAAGCGCCACGCAGGCGTACCGAACATTACATTTGGGCAAACGAGCGTCTTACGCCAACAGTCTGAACCTCTCCTACCACTCTCTTGTTGCTGTCAAGTCCTTGTGCAGGAGGGTGACGCGGTGGGCGTGAAAAGCGAGGAGATTGCTATCTACAACCGTTGGCGATGAACAGGGAGGCGAGAATACAGCATATCGTACCGCCCAGGAACCCCACCATAAAGGGCTCAGTCGCTTCTTAAATTGCTAGGAAAGCCTGGGCTTGGAACCGGTGCATGGTATTGTCACACCTCTGTTCGGACAAGACCTCGCGGACCAGCTTCTTGATCGCGGTCTCAAGGTGAGCGTTCGTCTACTCGCGCCTACTCTCCTTGAGCGCCTTCGCTGGACACGGTCAATACAGGTAGGTGATGAAGCAATGTGAGAACATACCAATTTGTGAGAGTGAGGATGGGAAGTAGGTTTATCACATCTACACATCACATATTTCTGCAACGCATGACACAGGCCGTATTATTCGGAGCCTGAACCGGAGCTCTCCGACGCGGAAGACAAGGACATGTTGTTCTTCCCTGCTAGGACTGGTGAATGTGACATTGGCATCCCTGAAGATGAGAGTGAGGAGGAA